CGGGGTTAAGGTGGATTATCACTTACAGTGGTGGGGACCACCACCAACCACTGCCCTCAAGTTAGGGACTCTGCAGACTGTAGAGGGTTCAGCCTCCTCCTCCTCCTCCTGCTGCTGACGAGTCAGTCGGTGAAACTCCGACGTAACAGTTTGTCACAGCCCCTCCCTCGTTTCTTGTCATTGTCCTCTTCTTCCTCTTGTCCCTCTCTGCGTACGGTTTATCGGTCAGCTCTGTTTGACGATATATATATCGTCAAACAGTATGTATAATATATAAATAAATAATATACCGTCACATAAATGTTTGACGATAAATATTTTGTCACACTAGATATATATGTACTCGCCAAAGTATGTTTACGTATTAATTCCAGTGTATAGTCGATCCGTTAAATTCCCTTATAGTTGCAGTCCGCCGTTACGCCCTTTTTTTTCCCCGAAAGTCTGCCGTTATGCTGTTTTTCTTTTTCTTTTTCTTTTTCTTTTTTGAGCCTCGCGTTACGCTGCCCGAAAAACACCAATGATTTTTTTTTTTTCGAGTCTCGCGTTACGCTGCCGAAAAAACACCAATGATACGACCCCCCCCCCCCCCCACCACCACCAAAAAAACCCATCGATTCCGTTGTAGTGCGAGTTCGCCGTTACGTTACGGAGCTCCCCGCGTAAGTGAGTTTTTTTTTTTTTTTTTAAATCCTGAGCAAGATTAAATGTTCACTAGCCGAAATTGACTGCCATCAAAAAAAAAAAAAAAAAAAAACACTTCATTAACATCCGCGTACCAAAAACAAAACCAAGAAAAAAATCCCTGCTCCATCGATCAACCAATGGGAACTAAAGAAAAGATTCGATGACGATTATTCCACTATAAATATGTCATTCGATTATTGGATTACATAAATGAAATTTGATCGAGATTTTATTTTTTTTTTGGATAAATAATTCGACGAGTGTGCGACGAGTATATACGATAAGTATTTGATGAGCAGTCGATTAGTCTTCGATGAGAAGCAATCGATGAAAAAATGGTCACTGGTCGCTCAAAATTCCTTGTATTCGATATTCGATGAAGCTTCGATGAAGCTTCGCTGATTTATCTGCTAATGAGATGTATTTTTCATGAACCTTCGTTGATTACTCAATCGTCGCTGATTTGTCGATTACGCGCGAATGTGACCCTAATCGATACCGATAACGGAATGGACCGGAATCATGGAAAGGGATCGGAATTATCCTTTTTTTGGGGGGGGATCGGAATTATCTTTTTATTTTTTTCCGTTACCGTTGGACTCTTAACGGAACGGAATAATTGGATCGGATCGAAATGATCTTCTTTTTTTTTTTTTTTATCTTTTGGGGGGGGGGGGGGGGGGGGGG